GACAGGGAATTTTAAGACGCTTACGAAAAGACACCTTCAAAGTATAACACAATTTTTAGCGTTTATACACTTCTGGGACCTTTGAGCAGAGTCAAGTGCTGGTCTTTATGTCAGGGCACATGGGGATGGGGGAGTCAAGGGGGCCCCAGCCTCTCCCCTCCCAACTCAGGTTGCCTTGCCAAGGGAAGCAGTTGATGGGCTCCATCAAGTACTCAAGTGCAAACCAAGAGATAACACGCCAGACTACAAAAGCAGGGAAAAAGCAACACGACAGTATTGCTGTACCACAGAGGGCAGTTTACAGTGTCATTCATATTTCAGTGAATATAAAATAACATAAAACCTTGAACATGGCGTAATTGTGCAAATACTCATCATTACTGAGTTCCCCCCCACACTGATCCTTATACCAAGAGGACTGAGGAACAGAGCCACGCTTCAGCTAGATGGATCATTCTGTTGAACCTAAGTCAATTCATAGGTGCTGGGGCACCTATTTTGCAAGTTAACAGGGTGGAGAGAACAAAGATTTTCAATTCCTTATTATATGGTAACGATGATCTTGAGTGGCAAGATTTCTGACACTCATCTTTGAAATAATAACCCAGATTAATTATGTTCTAATAGATTATATTCAATATCATTTTGGTTGTTTTAAAATCAAAGGCTTACTAACCCATGAAAATACTAAAAAAGTTGTATTTATCAAAAAACTATGAGCCAGGAAGCAAAAAAATACAGCTTTGCAGGTTTGCTCTGTTTGCTAAAGGTTTAACGCTATTAAAACTGCTAAATATATATATATATGTTAGAAAAGAAGCATGGCAAGAATTACAGTATTCTGTCTTGATATATCACCTTCCCAGAGTGCAAATTCACAGTCTGATGGATGATTAACATTAGGGGAAAATTATTCATCTGATTACCAGCAGGAGAGAGATAAAATGAACACAATATATTGCTGAATTTAGCATTATAATCACAAGAAGAATTTTTACAGATATATTGCAGCAGGGAATACTCCCAGTTTTACACACAGGAATTTCCTGAATCTAATATGTCATTTATTCCTGGCAAAGTCTGTCCTTTGTCTACATATATTTCATTTTTCCCAAACAGAACAGCACTAAGCTACATAAGTGCTGGACCAACTTTTGCCAGGTTTGACTACTGTATACAGTAAAGCTTCAGGAAAGCATTACATCTTATTGCCTGAAAGGTGAGCTAGAGGAGCACCTTAATCATCCTACCAGTTACAAAGGACATTTCAAAGCATACCACATTCCTCATTTTAGAGCAATTCACAGTAAGATTTACTCTGCAAGCTTCAATTTTTTGCTTTGTCTCGTGAAGATAAATAGAACAGAGTAAGGCCTCCTGATGGAGGGGAACTCTATTCAAGGGCAAATGTGAATAGGAGAGGGCTTTAAGCACATCCTTTTAACTGTATTTTCCCCGTGCTTTTCTGTATATTTTTTTTGACAGCCTTACAAAATTTTAGATCAGGCCTTATTTCCATTATAGTCAATAGTCCTGGGACTTCCACTACCATCACTTTTCTGATGAAGATGAGACTTTCTTTCGCTTCTTATCTTGCACCTTGTTTTGCTTTATTCTGCAGTGAAGTCTTACCTAACTTCATTATCTATCATTGCAAAAGCAACCGTGCTGCAAAAAATGCACCTCTCCATTGTACAAATATGGAAACGATAGACTTAGAGAGAAGCAACGCGAAACAAAGCTCTCATAATTAGCAGGAAGTAGCATGGAAAAATATGATAATATTTTGTTTAAAATTATTCTATGCTATTTAGACATTTCTACTTTATGAAGAAAATTTTCTTCCATCCCTAGTGTCAAGCACTGGAAACCAGTTTTGGTTCTAAGCGTTTCTGAGGATTTTAGAGGAAGGGAATCTATGACCGCTGTGACAAACCTGGGCTGCAGTAGCAATGCTGGTCCTGCATCATGGCTCTGTGACCAACAAAGCCATGGAGCTCCACCTCTGCCTAGCAAGTACTGGGTCTTTTCTTTACCAAACTGTTCTTCACGTTCAGCACTGCTTCATGGAAACAGAGAAGCCCTGGCGGGCTGAGCTCCTTACTGTAGTCTCTAGGGATGCCCAGACCTACCATTTGATGAGATGTGGCCTGTGATTTCTGCCATCGCCGTCAGCTGATGCCAGAGCACCACAGCCGAGCACGGGGCGCATGTGGCTCATCTGTCTGAAGTCTGTCTAAATTTTGACTCACAGAATGACTGTCAGTTTGTCTTGAGCTACTCATGGATCACACATGCCATTACTCAGATGTAACAGATTCAACATTATATTTGCAGTTCTCACATATTTCTCTCAGGCTAGTTGCCTGTAATATTCAGAAAAAAGCTAGATGACCCCTTGAAATAAAAAAAAAAAATTATTTCAAATATTTGTGTTATCCCAGTGCTCTGAAAATGATATACACTTTAATCTAGTATGTAGACAATGCATTTGCCATTATTTTTTATTCACTAGCCTGGCCATGATACCAGTTTCCAGAATGTGTGCCCAGACAATGAACAATTTTGTGAGCAATATACGTTCAATAATTAAATACAGCTAGGTCAGCTGCTTAAAATTTGAGATCTTCTTCTACAGTATTTCCTTTTCTGAGTATATTTACATACTACAAAAATAGACCTTTAATTTCAACAAATTACAAACTCTTCTACCATATTTTGTAACGGAACTAGGGCATTTAAATATTTTCAAATAATCTGTCATTATAATGCTATGATTTCAGTCACTCCAAAGTGCTACTTATAGCTTAATCTGCTCTACAGATTAAAAACATGCATGAGAGGTGAGTTTTTAAATAGCATTCCTCCCATTTTAGAAGAGATAATGTTTGAAATTGCTTCCTATATTCCCCTGCCTGTTTGTGGAACAAGGTGCACAGCTGAGGTCCCGAGCATCCTGACACATCACAGCCCAACCCCTTGCATCTGAAATGCTGCTTATGGCAAAAGGTACGGGCTTCGCAACATCACTATGAGGATCTGGACCTCAGAGATTTTTATATTGAAACTACATATTGCCAGTTGAAATACTTACTGCTCGCAGAGAGTGAATTTTCATTCACATGTGTAAAAATATTTTAAGCTTCAATATATTTATGCAATGCTATGTTGAGATTGCACTGCACTTAAGCCCAAGCAAAACAAGCCTGTGGCTGCGTAGTCAGTTCATCAAATAGCTGTTTGGAAAATGAGAATTTAATTTTTCATTATTTTGCTGAATTCAGCATTAGAAAGCTCTTAAAAAAAATCTTGCACTTTGTATGGAAAGATCTCTGCGGCAGAAAAATTCTTAAGTATTACTATGTTGAATTATTCCCAAACAAGGTTTACAATTTTCAAATGTGTAAATGTCTAAACCTGGACAACTAAATCCACATTCATTTACTCTCCTAAATTATTGGGCTGGATTTCAGAGATTCTGAGAATTCTCTACTGCCAAGGAAGAACTTTGTGTGCCAAGTCTAAACCAAACCACTCGATTCGGTGATCAAAGACGACATGTTGTCCACACGAAGATGCCCCTGCTTTTGAAATTTATTGACTAAGCCCTTGGCATTACTAGGTGCCAGTCAAAATGATGGTTATTAACCAAACTGTAGATTTGCTTGATTAGCAATAGAGAAGTGTGAGCTGCAGCCTCCACCCCATTACTCAGTGCAGCGAGACCACTGAGGCGCACTCCACCAGCCGTATTTCAGAATACGCATGCTTTGCCTGTTCAGTTTAGTCAGAAGTGAGGCTGTTGTATTATGCTGCCTTGAGGTGAACAAAAATGAATTTATCACTAGCTATTCAATTCTGTATTTTAAATATTATTCTCTGTCTCACCTTTCCTCTTGCACCTACTATAAACCCCCTCATCTCAGACCCTAACACAGGAGGTTCACAGCTACAAGCCATTTTGAAGGTCACCTCTAACTTCAGAGTATCCATTTCTCCAGGATGGAAAGAGGCTTGGTGTTAGTGAAGTATAAAATATTTTCCTTTTGCTATGCAATATGTGCATACAATAATGCAAATAACGGGAAATATTCTTGTTAATACAGCACTACCAGCAAGATGCTGACCAGTTTCAAATCACTGGGTACCTGGGTATCTGCAAAGTGAAGCTTGCATCTTAAAGTTCATAATATTAAGGAAAGATGTTCACAGGCTGCTGGAAGTTTCCAGCTACAGGAAAATGTAAGAGGTTACAGAAGGGCCAGCCTTGCCCTTGAGAGAATCTGTTCAAGAACACAGGTCACTTACCCAGGGTTTATGATACTGGCACGACAGAAAGGACATCCTGGGGCCATTGCCACCATTTTGCAAGCAAGGCCTGACATCTGTAGTGTTGTGCTCTTGGTAGCACAATCATCAGCCCGCGGTAGAATTAGTACCAGTCAAACAGTATTCAACCGCAAGGCCGCCTGCAAAGCTTGAAGCCTTAAGCTGTTACTTCTCTTTGACACGATAATCTACAACTCTCTATAAAAGCATCTAAAAAGGTAGAAAGTACATTCCACTACTGCTCTCATAAGCTTTGCTATTTCAATAGTGAATAGACCTGCTAAAAATCAGCTGCAGCTGGCAGGACTAATACCTGAGACAAAACCAGGGAGATGTTGGGTTTTTTTTTTCATTCTCCCTTCTGCCTGAGGAAATAGTGTATATATGGCTCCTTGCCCATCCACCCAAACACTTAAGTCACACACCTATGCCTCTGGAGATGGGTGTTTGTGTGCGTGGGAGGCAATGCGCAGGGATGAGGTGAGGTCTGGCAGGCAGCACCATGGCCTGCTGAAACCTCAAACCATGCTTCATGGACACAGTTTAGCGCTCGCTTCATCCACCAACCCAAAACAGTGTTCAGTCCATTTATGTACCCAAACTCTTGCTTGCCCAATTCATGTACTAAAACCAGGACCCCGCTGATCGGGACGCCTGCCCCACTTCCTCACCTGACCACGTTGGGGTGCTCGAATGTCTCCAGGTGCCTCAAAACTGCCACCTCTCGGATTGTGGACAGCGGCATCCCCTCCTCGCTGGTCTGCACCCGTACCCGCTTCAGCGCAACAAAGCGACCTCCGTTCTTCAAGTCTCGGGCTTTGAACACCTTCCCGTAGGCTCCTTCCCCAATCTCAGCCACACATTCATACTGCTGGTCAGCCAGGTTTGTGCTGTCCTTATCCATGCTGGCCGCTGTTCCTCTTCCTCCCGTGCTCCAAGTGCCTCGGGGAGGCTCTCAGTCTCGCTCGCTTGCTGAAAACTAGTACTTTGCTCGCGTTGCAGATACGCCACGCACTTGGTACCTCTGCCAGAGGGGCGGTAGGAAGCTCTCGCCCTCCCGTTCTCGTTCCTCTTCTGTACGGGCCCCAATGTGCCTCCTCTTTCGGCCACCGGGAATTATCATACAGTCTTTGGGAGCATTGTCTGTGTAAAGTCGATTGGATCTGGAGGACAAACCAAGCAAGAAAAGTGAGTTTAGTTGACCTCATTACTTTGCATCATTCAGAAAATTACGCTAATATGGTAGACAGCTACATGCAAAGCAAAAAAGTGGTGCGAAGGAAGACGTGAACCACCAGGGTGACACATGTATCAATGTTCCCGCATGGCTGATACAACACTATGCAGTTATCACGGTCTGCACAGAAGGCTACAGCACACAGCTACAGAGCAACCACGTGCTGTGGGATTTTACCGAGCAACGGGCTGAATACGACGACCCTGTGAGGCACGGCTGGCGGGGATGGCAGAGCTAACTATGCGTGTGTGAGAGGAAGTTACGTCCAGGAACTTATGTCAGGATCGCAGGACTGGAAGGTTTCTTCAGTGCACATGGTGGGGTCTTGGGAATATATCCCATGCTATATTACTGTTACTTATTTGTAAATGACAGCGCTTGGAGGTTTCAGCCTTGATCTGCTCTCCCCTGTGCTAAGCCCTGCAACGAACACATCGCAAGAGACAAGTTCCTGCCTCAAAGCGCCTGTGGGGAGGAGAAATATGTACATATTTAAAAGACGATAATAATATGTTACTGAGCACTGTGTGCTAGAGGTAGCTTCAGAAAAGTACACTTTAGCAAACTTAAGCACGCAAGGGTTTTGGCTGTGGATGCTGCTACCGCTGGCTGTGTGACTGGCAGTTCCTTGCAGAACAGCGTGATGAAGGATGGTCTTCAGCAACAGCACGCTCTGCTGTGCAGCGCGTGAGGCTGGCGAGCAGAAGCGCTTCCTTCTGCATCCAGTTTCATCCACACTTTCTGCAGGACTGTGGGCAACTCCTGTCCCCTCACCAAGCTCCACATCAACCCTCTCCTCTCCCCCTGACCCTTTTTAATGTGACGGCATCGTGACCGCCGGGGCTGTAACCCTCTCCTCCGCCGCGTTTTTACCGTGCTGGGATTAAAGCGCCCCAGATCGCTCAGTCGGGGATCCCCTAACTTGAATGCACGGCACACCGCCAGAGGTGTTTTTCGCATTCGCGCTGAGCTCGCACCTCAGTCGCGGCGAGCAATCC